TTATACACCACCCCTGAAGGTATTTAAAAGATGTGCAGATGTGGCATTTAGGGACAGGGTTCAGTGTGGGTTTAGGAGTGCTGGCTCAGTGATTGGACTTGATAACTGTAAAGGCCCTTTAATGATTCTGTGATTCCATGTGCTCCTGTATTTGGATTAAATGCTCAGTAGGAATGAGTGACTGGGTATGGGGAATGCTTGAAACATAGTAATTCAAATCTGTAGTGGATGGGACAGCAAGATATGTACATGTCTGTATGTAGGGAACTCCTTTAATTAAAGAGGTAAGAACTGTGTGTATGGAAATGTGTAGCTCAAAGATGTGTTTCAGCCTTTTTATTTCTTGTGTGAGGCATGTATTTGAGAAGTTCCTTGTTCAGCATTGTTAATTTGTTACTGAAGCATAAGAGATGAAGTATTTACCTTAAGATTCACTCCAAGTTCAGAACTGAAGAACGTTTTGCTTGTTCTATCCAAATGCTGCATATCCCCTCAGTTTGCTCCTATTTCCTGTTACCAAGGTAATCCATGTGCCTGGCTGTTGGTTCATTCCTAATGAGACTTTCATTGCCCACAGTGCAGCACTTGCCATGTTCCTATGAGATAATGAAAGTTCAGTGATGTCATTTGTTCTGGTTTCTTTGTTTTACATCATTGGATTATGAATGTGACAGACCCTGGGAGCTGCTGGCCCTTTTGGGGTGCCCTCAGGAGGGGCCTGTGTTGAGTCAGAGTTGCTGCAGCCCATCTGAATCCTCTTGCTTTGGTTCTTCAAACGAGTCAGTTTTAATATGCCACAGCTGAGCACTTGGAAGATGATGAGGCTTTGTTCTAAAGGCACTCTACGACTCATCAGGAAGTATCTTAGTAGAAAAGCATTTTTACTATTTGGGGTACCCAGTATGTGATAGGCAGTTTCCAGATCTTCAGAGAGAAATAGCCTCTGCTCCGAGAGCTTCCCAAAAGCAATAATAAATAATGCAATGATAATTCATTTTCTCACGACTTAGACATTAAGGGCCACTTAGTGAGTCACTAAAGAACTTAGTAAAATGCAGCTACCCAGTAAAATTCAGCAATGCAGTAGGAACTTTAAAAGTCAACAGTGTTGAATGTGTTGAGAATAACAGCTGCATTTTGATATTTTACTTCATCTTCAGACAGGGCATGAAGAAGGAAGGAAATTCTGGGCATGCCTAGGTCTCCTTATAGCTCTGCTCTTCCCAGTGGTGATACTCCTTTGCCACAGATGACTGTGCATGTGTTTCTTTGATATGTAAATGCCAAAACTATCCAAGATGTGGTACCCAGTGTGGGTTAAAAGGAAGGGATGCCCTTCTGAACTAGTGGGAAATGGAGACTGTGGCATCAGGCCTTTGGCATTGCAGCCTCTGAGCAGCAGTGTAGAAATGTGACCAGAAGGGCTCATGTCCCTGTAAGGTCACCAGGTGCTTCTGGGATTTCTTTGGGATTGTTTGTACTGAAACAGCTGCTGCAGTATTTTGGGTGGTTTTACTGCTACAGTATCAGGACAAAATGTTCCTTCATGCAGATGTCAAATGGGTCATTGTTAAGAGAAGGTTAAAGATGCTCAGACATGACTCAGGAGAGCTGTACCAGCAAAGGTCTTCAAGTTCCAGACAAGAATCTTGAGTTTGGCTTTTTTAATCCACGTTTTGGTTTTGCTTAACCAGTTTGTCTGAATATTTGATAATGCCATTTTATCTAATTGAACTAATTTATGCAAAATCAGTATCAGTATTTGCCTTAAAGTGCAGGAAAAATGACTAAAAATACCATACAAAATGAGAACACAGGACATCTTAATGATGTCTTTAGAAATCAATAGTTTCTTCTCTTTAATGATGTCTTATCTTTTCCATGTAGCTAAAGAATTATTCGTTAAATTGAACAGAAAACTATTTCCATTTGTATTAAATTTTATTCCTGTAAGCAATAAACAAGGATATGTAAACATTTCAGAGGCCTGTGTATATCAATTTTGTTGTGATACTGTGTTTTGAAAGGAGATGTACCAAAAAGAAGGCTTTTTAAATTTTTATTTGAAGCTCTGTGCTAAGTAAATATTTCTTCAAGAAATGTGTTTTCCATGTAGGCATGTTTTCATTTTGTGGTTGCATTGATTATAAACTCTTAACACATACCACTGAAAAATGTGATTAGTTTAATATATTTGTGGCTTTGGTGCCACTACAAAAACATATCTGATACCCACATAATAGTGTAGATTTCAGCAAGCAATGGAAAGTATTTCAAATATTCCAACCTTAGTTTTACAGCTTAGAAGCATCAATGGTAAAGGTAAATCAATTATGGTAAAGCATCAGTTAGGTAAAGGAAAGTAAGGTAATACAGACCTCCAAAGGTGAAAGTGGTATGAAAACTGTATATGTAACTATGTATAATTAGAGCTGGGAGTGCATCAGAAAATCAGATCAAAGACAGTCTCATTGCTTGTAGAAAACTGAGGTATCAAATGAGCAGTACAGTAAAAACATAATAGCTACTAGTACAATTTTGTCTGTTTATAGTTTGAAGGAAGTGTTTTTTCACCTAATTCAATGTCACAACCTGTTGTTTTCCACTTTGAGGAGGCTGTGTCCATATGTTCTTTCTTGGGGAAGTGCCAGTGTGGTGCTGGAGCAGGGCTGTGTTTGCTGGGCTCAGTCTGTGTTCTAGAGCACACTGAAGTCCAGCAGCAGCCAGAAGGGTTCTTCCTCCTCTGCTCTGCAATCCCAATGGTCAGTGTAGACTCCATTCAGGAGTTCAAAAGAAAGGAATCATCCATGCTGTCTTTACTTTGAAAGGAGATACTGCAGGGAATTCTGGTTCAGGGTGACTCTTTGGAACTGGAGTCCTTAGAAGAGCTTCTTTTGTGACTCCTCTTTACTGCCTCCAGATTCAGGAGAGATTCTAACTCAGTTTGGGTTGTTGCATTCTGTTTTGGAAGGATGTAGTGTAGAAGAGGGCCTGCATGGTGACAATAACATTTGGGAAGTGAGGTAGGGTGGAGGTTTTCTGGAGTTGTTTTGTATTTTACTCACACATGTGAAAGCTGATTTATTGCTGTTTTATGTTTAATTTAATCTTTAACAAAAAAAATCATAATCTGACTAAATTGCCAGAGGAGGATTATTTTATGTTCTGAGTTAAGTTGAAATATGTGTTTAGGGTTACAATTAATTACCTGGATTCTCTGCATGTGATGACTGTATTCTTCTAATGTTTTGCTGTGCAGAGTTAATAATAATTTGAAAAAAAATTCATTTCAAGTACTGGGAATTAAGAGTAAAGCCTATTGATGAAGAGAATTGGGAAGAGAATAGTCAAAAAAATAGACTGCTTCTTTTTTTTTATTTATTCAGGAAAATAGATAACGTGAAGAAGGAACTAAAATTATTACTTGTAGATAGACTGAGATATTTTAAGATTTTTATGTCTAGGATTAGAACATGTCTAATTTGGATGGAGCCATATTGGATGATTTGTTTTGTCATGTTAATTGTAAACATGTTCTTGCTTTCATTCCATTTAATACAATTGTCTACTACA